CCCTCCCCTCGATACTCCAATTGCCCGGCGTGAGTCTCGCTCGAGCAGAACCCTGCGGCTATCTTTCCGATCTCTGGTATAGTCCTTCCATGGACCCTACACGCCATTGTTGGCAAAGAGGTCGCACGGTTCAGAAGGGGAGAGGAAGAGGACTTCTTTCTTCTTCTTCTTCTTCTTCTCCTTCTTCTCAACCGTTGCTACCTTCTCACCGCCTACTCGAGAGTAACCGATTCCCTTCGCTCGGCTTCTTGGCTCTTTCTTCCGGCGTCCGCGCGACACCAAGAGAACAACTCCAGCGGGCTTTGTTCCTCTTTCAAGACCCACTCGCTGGCAGCGAGCAGCTCAACAATATAGAAGGACAGGAAGTCAAGAGACGAAACTAAACTAAACTGCGGCAAGAGGTCTCGAGACTTTCGGGAAACAGTCCGGTGGGACCCTTGTCAAATGGATTTCTCCAGTTGTGTATTTAAAAGTAGCTACTCACCCGCTTTACAGATGTCATAGTCCAAGTCACCGGAGATGACGTGGGGAAATTGATTGCTCAGCAGATCATCGATGCTGAATCTCTGTCGGGGCTTCCTGGGGACGCGGGGCGTCCTTTCATCCTCCAGGGCGCGACAGTCGACGATCGTCGGGATGAAGCAGAGCAACGGAAGAAGCGGGAACACCCTCATCTCGAAAGTTTCAGCCAATTCAACTCAACTCGAATGACGCACTGAGTCATAACAATCGACTGACTACCTCCGAATCGAATTCATCTGCGTCTCTCCGGCGGCTCCTCCTTCCAACTCTCGAGATCGCTTTACTCTCCGCGCCGGCGACGCTTTGCCGCCGCCTAACCGACGTCTCGACGGCACTTTGTCAATCGCCAAAAGTTTGGTCGCAGGCCGCCGGGAAGGGACTCCTCGAGTGCCGCTGGCGCATAGACTTTTGGACTCGCTCGACCGATCACATTTCCAGTGTCGCCACCCTTAAAACCTCGAGTCTCCTTTCGTCTCTCCCGAGGTAAACAGTCCTACAAGTGGCCTTTCGTAACACACTCGGCCAGGAAAACCGATCGCGATCTCTTGGAATCTGCGCGAATCTTCGGGTACTCGCCACACCGACAACAAGTCACAGAATGTCGAAATCCTCGCTGGCCCGCCGGTTCGCCAGGTATCGGATCGAAGGCAAAAGCACAAAGGACACGAAACGGCTGAACTCGAAAGGAGAACTGAATCGGCCCCTGCCAACCGCGAGTGCGCTCGGCTAGAGTGAAGTGCCACTTGCCAGCCGCACTGGAAGCGCCTAGCGAAAAGAGCCGAAGAGACGTGTGAGAATGAGAGAAGCGCGTAGCAGCGGCGGAATGACTGGAGAATCGTGGCGCGAGGCGAGGGGCATCAAAAGTCGCCGGATAAACGGTCAAGAGAAGTCACACGGTGCGGTCAAAGTTCGAAGTGGTTCGAGCGGGTAGCCCGAGTGCTCGCCGGAGAAATGGAGAAGGAGGAATTGCAAGAAGGAAGGAGCGAAGGAGATAAGAGATAGAGGAAGAGAGAGAGAGAGAGAGAGAGGGGGGGGGTAGAGAGAGAGAGAGAGAGAGAGAGAGAGAGAGAGAGAGAGAGAGTCCCTCGACTCGACTGGAGGGGATCGGAGGACGGTTGGTGGACGGTTGGTGGACGCGGGTTGCACTGACTCTGCTCGGCACGAGGGTGCCCGAGACACTGCGAGTGAACCCGCTCCAGCACCACCCCCGAAGTCGCTTCAAAACTCCTCCTGCGCGTTTCAACCCTCCGAACGGCGCCGAGCCGCTTCAGTCCTCCGTTTCAGAATTCTAATGTGGTTCGATGCATTTGATCTATTGCTTACGTGTTATGAGCGTCGAGTCGTCATTCCCGTGGATGCTGCTGATAGGCTCCAATTCTAACGCAACGTCCAAGGCCAACAAGGCGGGAATAGCGTCAGCGGATTGGTTTCGCACTTACACGGACCACGGAACATCGTCGACGGATTTACCAATTTGCTCTGCCACGTGGCAGGTGTGTATTGGGAAAACTGCACGTTTCGATTTTCGAGGGTGGCTTTGGCGACGCTTCAGGGGAAGCGTTCTTCGCGATCGTTAGTAAATATCCGGGAGCGCAGTGACGATTGCCGGTTGTTCGTCGATGTGGGCGCAACGCGAGGGGTTCGCAATGATGTTGTTGAGAGCGCGATTGAGGAAACACGTGTTTCCTATCCCACGTTTCCTATCCAACGTTGATATATTGGTCAAGTATCGGATTACTGTCACGGGATCAGCCCCTAGAGTTTTGCCCGACGTCGAGGAATAAGTGCATGTCGACGCTGTCCAGGACCCTACTCCCAGAGTAATCTCAGAGTGCCGAAAAAGCATCCTTTTTCTGTGTTTTTCTTTTTATTAGGAAATTTTCCCTTAAACTCTTTTGCGTTAGGGCGTCCCATACGTCATCCAGCGGGCACGCTATTCAATGATCTGATGAACGGCGATCAGTCTTCTACGGGCCCAGGTTACGAATAATTGTACTTTAAGCTCCTCATCCTTTTTAACTCTTCGAGCTCAATTTTCACCAATTGTAGGCGCGTCGGCTCGCACACGCGCAAAGAAATCTCTCATTTCCCTCGAGGCCCAGTTTCGTTTCATGTAAAATACTCCACGTTCAATTCTTCGAGATGAAACTTTCGAGCGTATCGAAGCATTGAGCGCGTCAGAGAGTTAAAGTAGAGCGTCAGCAGGCAAACAGCATGATTAAAAACATTTCTTCCGTTTCAATATTTCCTTGATGTCAGGCCTGTAAGGTCTCATAGTTTATCCCTTGGACGTAGAAAATGTTGTTGATGAAAATTTGCGTTATCTTTTTTCCTCCAAGTGGTAAATTGCATTCACCGAGTATCTTCGTCGCTTATTACAAGTTTATACGATTCGTTGGAATCTTTCTGAAAATAAGTATTGTTTAAATTTCACGATTGATCCCGAGTCACGTCAATAGGAGAACGAGTCAGGGAATATGATAGTAAACTGGAACGAAGGAATATACGAGAGTCTTTGGTGCTGAAGTAAAAAACTGAAACTCATTAAGCGAGCTCTGCCTTCGAGTAATTAATCAGCGTTAACAACCACTGAACTTCGCCACTCTCGAACAGATCCGAACAATGAAGCCGATTAGCCCACTGCAAAACTTCTTTGTGAAATTCACTCTCCCTCTGGAAATCTCTCGCTGTCTCGGGTCGTACGCATTTCAAAGAAGCCCTCCGGCAGCGCAGACCTCCCGAAACCCACTCCTCCTTAATCGCTTTTTAAGAGCGTGTGTTACAAACTTCTCTCATTTCGTCTCAGTAATCCATTCGCTAGGCTGAAAGCCACCCTTCAAATTAATTTCACAAGATCGAATTTCGCAGCCGAACAGGTTTAATACAAGATATAATTCCCGCTTACCTCGATCACTCCCCTGTCAGTGCGCATGTCAGATAAAGATGTCTTCATCCAGTTTTTGTCTAATCGCGTAAGGAAAAGTTCTTAAGACACTTTCTTACTAACTCTTTAGCGGACTTCATTTTTTTACTCAATCAACTTCTATGTATAATAAGCTGTCAAATATTCCTTTGTATATTTCTTGTATAAGTGCGAAAAGTAGGATCTTATTGACGGGTTTGTTCATCAAATAAGAAGATCGACATTGATCGCTTTTGTAGGCATAGTTATGATAATATGGAAAGATTCAAATATTACCGGATTATTCCGGTATTTTGTAGCGTCACGACTGCCGCAGATTGAAGAAGACACTTCTCCACCAAGAAATCAGAATTGCGACGCCAGTGATGGCGTCGCCATTTGGCATTAGCCCGTACTCTACTGGACTCTGTTTGAACTATTTATGCTTGAGCCTCTTTCCAGATGGGTAAAACAGTACAGGGTCGTCTCGAATTAGCTCTCTGGCCCGTTTTATTTCCCCGATCACGTTATTGAAATAGTCCTCCGACGTAAAAATGTCGGTGGCCCTTGGCTTGTGTGAAACCCCGGGATGCAATGCGCTCGCCAGTTTGCAGTGTCCAACTTGTTTAAAGCTTGGTATCAAAGGGGCTTACTTCTGCACCCAGGTAAAATCTTTATTTCCGGTATAGGTTAACTTCTATTCCCATCTTTTTCTTGGCGTTTCTCAAGGTGTTCTATGTACTGTACTCATTTACTTTCAGGATTGTTTCAAAGGTAGTTGGAAAACACACAAAGTTATTCATCAACTTGCAAGTGAGTTCTGCATACAAAACTGATTCTAGAGCTAACGAAATATGATACTACAATTGATATTTACAATGAATTATCTCTGCAGAAGGAGAAAATGGAAACAAATCATCTGATGAGTACAATCCGTGGCCTTCTTATCATTTTACTGGAAAATTGCGCCCATACAAGAGGGAGCCTCTACGTCAAGTTCCTGAATCTATTGGCCGTCCAGATTATGCTCTTCATCCTACTGGGATTCCATTGAGCGAACAAGCAGTTAGAGGTTCTGCGCAGATCAAGGTCCTTAATGATGAAGAGATAGAGGGCATGAGAGTAGCATGCAAGGTATATTTATTTAAATTGTAAAGGACCTTCCCACTTTCTTAAAAATGATTCTAAATGCGTTTTATTCTGCGCAGCTTGGTCGGGAAGTTCTGGACGAAGCTGCACGCGCTTGTGACGTGGGGGTGACGACTGCTGAAATAGACAGAGCAGTCCACGAAGCATGTATTGAAAGAGACTGTTATCCTTCACCCTTAAATTACTACCAATTTCCGGCAAGTTGTTGTACTTCTGTTAACGAAGTAATTTGTCATGGTATTCCCGATACAAGACCTCTCCAGGATGGTGACATTTGCAACGGTAAAATGCAAATATAATTTATCGAAAAATCCTTTTCTAACACTATCGTGCAACATCTTGTAATTTTCAGTGGACGTTACGGTTTACCACAACGGCTTCCATGGAGACCTTAACGAAACCTTCTTCGTGGGTAATGTCAAGCCGGAGATCAAGAAACTGGTTGAGGTCACATACGAGTGTCTTCAAAAAGCTATAGACATTGTCCGACCTGGGGAGAAGTACAGAGAGATTGGCAACGTAATCCAAAAACATGCACAGGCTCATGGATTCAGCGTCGTGCGTAGCTACTGCGGTCACGGGATTCATCGTCTCTTTCATACCGCACCAAATGTTCCACACTACGCCAGTCAGTTTCTTGTTTCGAGCGCCATACTGCCCTGTTGCTAATTCTGAGAATAATCATATGTTTCACGGGTTTCGTATTCTGATTCGCAGAGAACAAGGCTGTGGGCGTGATGAAGCCTGGACACAGCTTCACCATCGAGCCAATGATATCACAGGGCAATTGGCGTGACGAGATGTGGCCAGACAATTGGACTGCCGTTACCTCAGACGGACAGTGGTCAGCTCAGTTCGAGCAGACCCTTCTGGTGACAGAGACAGGCTGTGACATCCTCACGAAGCGTTTCAGCAAAAATGGTCAACCTCACTTTATGGATAAGATTTAGTGGCGCCCGCGTTGTGGCTGCGTACCGAATTATGGCAACTGCAGTGACGACGTGACAGGTTTTCTCGATTGAAACAATTAAATTTACAGTCTTAGACGAAGTTGCGAATCACGCACAGTGGAAGCCAAATTTGATAACCTTTTTGAATAGCGCCGAAGTAAATTGCGTATTTGAAAAGACAAGATATATTTTACAAGCCTATTGATCCAAGCGATAACATTATTTTGAGTATATCTATGTATTTCCGGACTTGAAGCGTCGATAAAATCATGGAATGGACTGTGTGAGACCCGAGGAGGGTTGATCTTCAGACGTGACATCAAAGCGTCGGATGAAACAATCTCATTAAACTCTGTACCATAATTATTCACTTAATTCCTGACGATAATTATGTACATACAATTGTAGGGTGACACGCGACAATACGAGGGAGTGCAAGATATAAGAAATTTGTAAATTACCGGACGTCGTCCAGCCGATTATTATTTTACATCAACGAATAAATACAGTAACAAATTTTCTAAGAATAAAGTCAAATAAATATAACAATTGGAGGGATTGGTAAAGTTGGGTCGATTATCGTCCAGCAACTGCAACTTTCTGCAGCTTCTGGACTTTTAACGTGTTGAGAGTCACAACCATTCCTCCTGTGTCCAGTCTTCATTGTGGTTTCAAATCGAGGCTCATAATTTGAGTTGTCAAGATTTTAAAAATTCAATGAGACTCGTTCGATTTTGGGCAGCACGAAAAGCATATGTCGCGCATCATATTTACAAATTTCATTCGGCACTCTCATTTCCCAGTCTTCGAACTCAGTCGCGTTCCGTATTCAGTGATCGACTTTTGTTTGTAGGTAGATTTTGCACCGGATGCTGACGTGGGGCTTACTTCCGTCGTTTCAGCACTTTCTTCCTCATACTCGTATTCTTCAGCTGCATTAGTGTTTCCTCCAGAAGGTTGTTGTTCCAGGTCCTCGGAATATTCCTCCAGCTCGGGCACCATAATTCTCAGAGGATTCTTCTGTTCATCCTGTTGCCGCTGCTCTTGTCTCTGTTGCTGCTGGTAACGATCATTCATTTCCTGTAACAGAAATATAAAATAATTTCTTCGAATTACCAAGGATCAGCATGTTCGTGACGTACCTGTTGCTGCTGCTGAAGTTGCTGCCTGTGGTAGTTCTGCCGATCAACGTATTCTTCTTGTTGCTGATTATATTGTGCAGGATCCTGATCCGATGTCTCGATTACTCTGTACTCCTCGTCCTTGTGATTTGGTGGCATTGGTCCCTCGTTCTGTTGCGATTCCTGGTGTTTGCGAAGCTGTCCTATCAGGTGGCTGTTGACGTTTCCAGCTGCGGCAAGGGCTGCCAATTTTTCAGCGGCTTCACGACTCGGAAGTGTCGTGTAGAATTGCGTTGCGATACTTCCGTCCTTTCCGACTTTAGTGAAATACGTCGATTGACCCTGTTGGTTTGAGCTTTCTTCGTACTCAATATTATTCTCCGATTGATCAGCAGCATCTGCTGGATACGAGACTTCCTCGTGCAGCGGCAGAATGTTGCTCGAACGAAGATTCTCATTAGTCTGAGGTTCCAAATTGTAATCCGCAGTGACTCTTCCAGATGCGTAGTCTTGCCCTACAAGAATTTGTTGTTGTTGCTGCTGCTGCTGCTGTTGCTGCTTATTCGCCTGCTCATCGTAGTTAAAAGAATGCATCTGAGGCTGAGAAAAACTGGTTACACCGGTAGGTTGGAAAAGTTGGCCGAGTTGTTGCTGAAGAAGATGTTGCTGCAGTTGAGGTTGCTGACCAGTAGTATATTGTTCTGTGAGTTGTTGAGGAAAACTATTAAGGAGATCATAGAGTTGGGTGGCTGAGAGCGGCGGTCCGGCCGGTGCCGGATGTCCGACATGAAGATCAGGAATTTGATGACCCACGGCAGAAGGGGCTTGAGAAGCGGTTCCCGGGAATCCGACGTGAAGAGAGCTATGAAGATTTGTTTGCATGGGGTTGCCTAATTGGCCATGGTCGAATTGAAGATTTGTTCCTATAACGCCGGAATTCGATCCTGGAGGATGATTTAGGAATACTTCGTTTGTCTGTAGATCCGGAGACACCACGGTAGACAATCTGGTCACGTCGAACTCTGGTGTAAAATAAGTTGGCTGCACTGTCCGATAATCCTTGAAACCGACTTCATTGGATTCTGTGACTTCGTAATGATGTTGAGTAGACGTTGGACTGGTGACTGTCCTTTGAGGAGAAGGTGCGCTCGTGCCAATTGTACCGAAAGCGAAGTTCGATACGTGATTGCCTATAGAAATCATAATAATCGATCAATTCTTTTGTGCTGGTTCAATAAAATTATTATTGCAGTCCGGTGTAATTTTCGGACACAGAATTTACCTTGTGGATTAGAATTGTAAGAAAGATCAGCTGGGTAGTTGCGTATGGATTCTACGGGGTTGTTCTCCTGTGAGTTTGCTCCAAGATTGTAAGGTTTGTCCGCTGGACCCAAGTTTGGTGCTGGAATCGTGTGAATGGGCCCTTTGTCTTCGTCCACGTGCGTCCTGTGGGTGGCTGGCATTACGGCCGCTTCTGGTCTGTACTCCGGACTATACTCGGGACTGTACTCGGGAACTTTATTCATCGAGTGAAATTCTTTGACTGGAGGCCGCAGCGGAAGAACAGCTAGATTATTCATCGGGCCGAGGATGGCTTGGGTTTTCCATGCTGTCGGCAACACGTTGAAGACTGGCGGTCGTCGAATTCTACGGGGAAGATGTCGGGAGGATCAAGCTAAAGAATACTGTCGACATTTCGGGTCGCGCGTTATTCTCGATACCTGTAGTTGGTAGGCTTGTAGGTAGGTCTCTTCTGGGAAAAGCCACCACCAATGTGGATAGTGTTACCCATGGAAATTCTCTGAGCAATTGGCCAGTTCTTCTTGTAGACCTGCGGCGGCGGGGGTGGCCTCCTCATCTTGTACCTGGCACTGCCGCCTGGGAATATGGAGACGCAGAGGCAGGCGGCCAAGACCCATTTGATCCAGTTGGCCATCTAAAGAGAAATCCGAAAGTTTACAGTTTCCTAAGAACATCGGCTTTCCACCCCCTTTTATTCTTTCTTCCCTATCCAGCGATTGCTGGAACTTTCGCCAGCATCAATTGCCGAGCGCGAATCTCGAGGAAAGCGAAGTGACTCGACACTTGGCACGCTTGGCGGATGACCAAACGAGTTCTCTATGCAAGGTCAGTGGGTTCCTTCCTCTCCGTTCCTATTCCCACTGTACATCCTTCTTGACAAAGTTTCAACTGAATTTCTATCTTGTTTTTCAGCGACCTGGCTGACTTGCCAGGATCTTGAATTAGAGCCAAGAGCCAAGAATATGACTAATGGCGCCAGCAACATAGTTACCAATAGCAAAGAGGTTCCCGAAGTTCCCGTCCTCGCAGTGGGAGCCATTACGGTAGCACATATTCACGTAGCCACGTATCCACGTATCCGCACGTGCAACGTGTGGGATTCTAATCGTACGAGTCAGTCGCTCGCGCAGATGTGTGGCTCGCGTCTACGTGGACGCTACAGGAAGCATAGGTGCCCCTACGTGACTATGCCCATCGGACCGGTCGCTGCTGTCATGGCTCGAAGACATCGAGTGGCGCTGCGTGAAGCCGACAAAGTGGGACATTGTGCCACATTGCTCTAGGAAAAGCGAGGATGAACGTGCAACCTTCTCGAGATGCGAGGAGTTTCCGGAAACGGATTAGAAACCTTGACGACCGATCGTGAACCGACACTCGCGACTTGTCAGACCCTACCGTGTCTTTAGCTTTGTGAAAATATATAGAAATATGTTATTAATTATGATCGGGAAATTCGTTGGCTAGAATTTCTAGGCCAGGGAACGAGAACCGAGAGTTAACCGTTATTTAAAAAGTTTCGATTGGCCTAACTGTGCACCGCGACTGCTCGACTCCATCTTTATTCATGAGCAACAATTATCGAGTCCTCCTGACGGATGGACCCCCGTCATTCTCTCAATGCTCTCAGTTTCCTTCTTCCGTGTTTAATGGCGTCGGTTGGGTTGGCATCGTTGCCCACAGGAGAATAGCCCGTTTCAATTTAATGTAATAGGACTTTATAATGCTCGTGTAGAGTAACGTTTCCTTTCCGATGGCTCTGCCGGATCTCGAACGAAGCCTTGGACGATCGCACGGTAGACCTTCAGATCCTAGATCGTTAGATCGTTAGATCGTTCGAGGCTGACGTTTCGTATTGAGAAGAATGGACAAGGGACACCACTACTGCGTTAATGTAACAGTCATTCTTGTAGAAAGTAATTAGATCCAGATAAGGATTACACAAGCGACTCACCTTCATGGCTGCAATCTGTAGTTTTGACCGTGACCTTCGGAAGTTCAGCCGTCAGGAAGTTTTGACACTTTTCCCAAGGAGTCTTGAACCGGAAGTGGAGTCCCCCGAGTGCGATAGCCGTCGAAATAGCTTTACTGTCGTCTGCCGAGATTGTCCGTCGAGGAAGCAGTGAGTGTTCTGCTCGCAATTAGGTCATTGTCCTTCATTTATACTCTCGAACTGGCGAACGTATCATCGAATAGCGGTGGCTGCTCCTACCTCGGAAGCGGGTCTACCGGTCGCTTCAAAATTTTCATAACTCGCCAACTGCTATTACGAGATACGTGATGGATCATTTTTCAATTTTTAAATTTATGTACATAGAGCGTACATACGTTTTTATTTGACCCCGTAATCACCGATGCCTCGTATTGGGATAAAAGCAGCCCAATCCAATAGGAAGTAAGCTCCATTCACCATTCACCATTCACCATTCGCGGTCCTTTGGGCCATTTAGATTGAAATATTCGGTCCTGCTTCGTACATACAGCATGCCCACTGTTCCTAAGACGTGGCCAGTGCCGCGAAAGACAGAAGGACGTGCCGGTGCACGACGTCAGAGAGACGCAAGGAGTGACACTTGCTTCGAATGGGAATTGATAAATGACCTAGATTCGCTCGATCGAGCGCGAGGGCTCTCTCGGGAGGACCACCTCAAACCTCGAGATGAGCAAGAAGGATGCTGCAATAACAAAATAGGAGTGGATCACGTGGCGTCGCCGGCACTTCCGACCGGCAAGGCGATCGTTTATCGACAATCGGACTGTCCCAGAGTCGCACGTCGTTTCTCTCCATATCCTTCGGGTTGGATTGGCACGCACGTACTTACCTGCGCACATGCGTGCCCTGTAAGTGTGGTCCAGTGACCCAGTATGTTTGCCATTGCCAATATGCGCAGTTCTCGTATTAACATTCCGTAAGGCATTATCTCTTGCAGCATCCCCGCACTTGTCTCTCTTTTCCTTTCTTTACATTTTCACATCAACAGGATTCATGAATTCTGTGTCTTCCTGACCACAGGAGTGGCTGTCATGTCGACGTTTCACGGCATTACGGATGTTTGCGCTGCAGCGCTTTGAATACAAACTTATTATCCCACTGTGCAATTATACTACGAAATTACATAATCATGATCTCGTCGGCAACTAATTTATCCATCAAACTTCAAATGTACTATATTCCAAATTCCATACGCTAACTTTGATATTTCGCACTCTACATTCTAAAATGATTTTTAAAATTTGTTAGCAGGATATTAATTTCCGTAAATCCAGTAAAAATCGGGCGCACATGTACTTCCCACAAAACTGTTATACTCTCTTGTATATTATCCGTCTCCTTAGTCTCGTTATACTCATAATTAATAGCTGTTCTTAAACGACTATAAGTTCAATTAATTTATACACTTATCTATTTACAACCTACGTACGATCAATCTAATTCTTTAATTTTACTCAGAGAGACTTTTTATTAGTATTAGAAATTTTCAACTATATATTTTGTACATAAACTCTAAGCTGTCGGAATCTCAGGGTGGATACACTTATTGATGTGTCTGATCGCAAATGACGTCTCAAGCGGCACCTCCAACCTGAACTATCATTTGAAAATTCCATAACAATTCAATGTACGCATATTTTTATTTATTTTAACGTTAGTTTCACTGTATTCCTAATACCGTCGCATGGATCCTCTGTGCATAAGAGAAATTAATCGAGCGTCTGGATATATGGAATATCATAGATTAAAGTTTGCCTGTTCCACCAGAATCCGAGTGATTGAGCTTTAAAAGTACATAGAGTCATAAGTCATAATCATATGAGATAATGTTATGTTTACCGAAGGAAGCATCCTCCATGAATAGTATTCTTTAGTACCTAGTATACTATGCGGTATATTATAGCGAAGACATTACATGAAATTTTGAAAATATGTACAATTAAAATGATGGTCTAGTGTTGGATCATATAATAAGCAGATATGTAGTGACTTATGTACTTGGCATTATTAATATGATTTCAATACTTTTTGTGCGAGGAATGCTCTGCTGTACTTGGCATAGTTTTTAAAAACTTCGATAAAAACCTGACATGGTTTTTTTAGAAGAGTAACTACCTAACGGAATCGATAACGAGGCAGGAACTGTCTTCGTTGTATCTCGAAGATTCGAAACAGTTTCAAAACTGGATGAAAGATAGACGTCGCTTTTTGTGCCTCGACCGAATATTGTTAGCGCCGTAGACCTACGAATTATCGCCCAGTTGAGAAATGACCGAAGACATTTTCATCGCCTTAATGGGAAGTAATAGCTTCTTCGATTCACAGATGGCAGTATCCTCGATGATGCGTCGGTACGTCAGATTCGCGCGACGCGAAGCACATAGTATTGTCTGGTCGATTTATCTTCAGTGAATGGTTTCTCTAAGGTTTACTGTCATATTGTCTGTTAGTAAAACATAATCGTAGGTGTCTATCTATTCTAGGGTCCCAAATCCTAACTCTGGTTCATCATTAAATCCATTGTGAATTGTGTTCCCACGTATGCAGGTTGCAAGGTGATAGTTTTTTAGACCTTGTGCTTGTAGTGGTAGGTGATAGGTTATGGGTCAAATCAACGATACGATGTACGTATATGGAAAACTTGTTTTTTTTTTTATTATAAAAGAAAATAAACTTTACAACATATTTTTACACCTTTGCTTATGAAGCTCACTTATATATAAATGTATAAATCGGAACTGTCAATGCTGGAAAATGATTCTCGTACGATCCTCAGAGGATGTTGCCTCTCGTAATATTTTGCGAGATACGAGGGTAATATCTTTCGGTTCTTCTTAAAATAGAAAAATAAATATGTTGCGTCGGTATCGCCTGATCAAGACGAAACATGCAAGTGTAGAAAATTCACATGTAAATGGAATCAATAATGTACAATCAATTGGTATCGATGCCTTGTCTCTCTAGACTTTGCCGGTGTGCATTTTCGTTTGAGCAAACTTCCGAGTTACGAGGAAATGAGTATAGAAGAAAAAAAAACAGAAAACAAAAGCAATGCATTTGTCGATCCAGAGAGAACTCATCGTTCTTCCGACGTCGCCATCCGCTGTCCTTCTCTCCTCGGTTTGTTTTCTTGTCCATTATCCTTGCAGGATTCACTAGTAAGAAGTTAGACCATCCGTCTTGCTGTACTGTGACTCCCACGGATAGTACGCGTAGCTAAACACCACTGTAACAGAAAAGTTTGCACATGGGAAAGTGGATCGTAGTGTTAACTTAGTGTCGTGCGCGACACTAGCGTTGCGCCCTCACATCGCCCAGCGATGTCCCGCAGTTGGTGATCCTCGGTATCTCCGCGTTAAGAAACCTCTTTGTAACGATAATTCCTATGCTTGTAGTACCGTCGTTAGGCCAATGATGCTTTGAGACTTTCAACTTTTAATCAGCAGAAGATTTCACACGAAGATTCCTACTTTCGTTTTAATCCCACAAATTCCCGCGTTTCTTGCGACGATTGTGTCCGGATGTGAGTCAAGGTGAGTCCAGGTAACGTCAAGGTGCTGCACTTCGATTGTCGGACGACGTAATAGTTCCCGGGGAGGGT